AGAAAATGCAGTCCGCCCAGCCCTCTTTTTCTTGCTTAATCTTTGTCACCTGATCGTAGAATTCTATCAAGCCTGTAAGGCAAGATTTACCCTCCCTGAACCCATGTTGGCGATTTGTCACGAAGTCCCTTCTCTCCAGATGTGTTACCAGGTTTTTTCTCACAATCTTCTCCGTCACCTTGCATGGTATACAAGTCAAGGACACTGGCCTGTAGTTCAGTGCCTCTTGCCTGTCGCCCTTTTTGTATATTGGGACCACATTCGCTGTCTTCCATATTTCTGGTAGGTCTCCCATCTCCAGTGACTTACTATACACTATGGAGAGTGGCAAGCAAAGTGCCTCTGCACACTCTTTCAGTATCCATGGTGAGATCCCGTCTGAACCAACAGCCTTTCTAACATCCAGATCCAGCAGGTGTCTCTTGACCTCCTCTCTCGTAATTTCGAACTTTTCCAAGGCCGCCTGGTTTACCTCCCTTTCTCCTAGCACAGTGACCTCACCTTGTTCTATTGTGAAGACCTCTTGGAACCTCTTGTTGAGTTCTTCACACACATCTCTGTCGTTCTCTGTATACCTGTCCTCGCCTGTTCTAAGTTTCAATACCTGTTCTTTCACTGTTGTTTTCCTTCTGATGTGACTGTGGAGTTGCTTTGGTTCGGTCTTGGCTTTGTTTGCTATATCATTTTCAAAACTTTTCTCTGCTTCTCTTCTCACCCTGACATACTCATTGCTGGTTCTCTGGTATCTCTCTCTGCTTTCTGTTTTCTCTGCTTCTCTTCTCACCCTGACGTACTCATTGCTGGTTCTCTGGTATCTCTCTCTGCTTTCTGGGGTTCTGTTATTCTGGAAGTTCCTCCACGCCCTTTTGTTCAGTTTCTTCGCTTCCATACATGCCCTATTATACCATGGATTCTTCTGTTGCTTCTCTGATTTTTCCCTTTGGGCCGGGATGAACCTGTTTACTGCCTCCTGACACTTTTGGGTAACATAGTCCATCATACCCTGTACAGACTTATCTCTGAGGTCTGTGTCCCAAGGCATTTCACTTAGAAAACTTCAAGTCTGTTCATAATTCCCCTTTCGGTATGTTCATAATTTCCCCTTTTGATTCCTAGTTCTTTTTTGGGGGAGATAATTCCTAGCTCTACCAGGTACTCAAAGTTCAATACACTGTGGTCACTCATTCCCAAGGGCGCTTCCATCTTAACTTCCCTTATATCCCACTCATTTAGGGTAAATATCAAATCAAGCATTGCTGGTTCATCTTCTCCTCTCATTCTTGTTGGTTCTTTGATGTGCTGGCTTAGAAAGTTTCTTGTTGCCACGTCTAGCAGCTTAGCTCTCTATGTTTCTGGTCCTCCATGCGGGTCTCTGTTCTCCCAATCTATCTTCCCATGGTTGAAGTCTCCAATAATTAGTAGTCCAGATCCATTCCTGCTAGCAACAGAAGCTTCTCTTTCTATTATGTTAATGGTGGCCATGTTGTTTCTATCATATTCCTGTCTAGGTCTTATGTCGTTTGGGGGTGGATTATATATGACTACGACTATAATTTTTTTCCCCCAATTTGTTATGGTATCTGCTATGTAGTCACTGAAATCTTCACAGCCCTGAATAACCATCTCCTCAAAATCCCAGCCTTTTCTTACCAGCAGAGCTACACCACCCCCACCTCTTCCTTCCCTCTCTTTCCTCATAACATAATAGTCCTGTGGGAATACTGTGTTTGTTATCGTTTTCGTTAGCTTTGTTTCTGTGAGGGCTATTATGTCTGGGTTTTCCTCTAGTACCCGTTCTCCAAGCTCATTTGCTTTATTTGTAATTACATCTATATTAGTGTACATTGCTTTGAGACTCGCTTTCTTCTGTCCCTTCTCAAATCGCCTCCTTGGTGAGTGTTCTGCTAGTGGGGGAAGCTGTTCCATGGGTGTGAGGACCTGTGAGGTGGATAACAGGGTCTCAGAGGATACTGGGATGAGGGGCAGGGGATCCAGTGAAGGGGGAGGGACAGGGAGGGTATGGGGTGAAAGGGGAGGGAGGACAGGAAGGAAAGGGGGTAGAGGGAGGACTTGGCGGGAGGAGGGGAGGGGTAGAAGGGTGGAGATTGGGTGTGGGGAGAGGGAGATTTGGCTGAACATTTGAGTGGGGGCAGGGAGGGTTTGGGGTAGGGGGGAGGAGCCAGAAGCCCGCCACCCTCCTGTGCAGAGGAGGGTGGCGGGGTTGTTCTCCCTTCTGGGGATACTGGGTAGCTGGTTGTGGGTTTCCCCCTAGCCTCTGGGGGTGCTGTGTTGGGAGCTGTGACTTCCTGGTTTTCCCCTCTCGCCCTGCGCCTCTTCCTTGCTTCTGCCGCCACGGCTCTCTTCTCCCTTGTCATGTCTCTCTGGAGGAATACATTTTTTAATTTTCCCACATTTTTCAGGGAGCTCTTCCTTGATAGAATCTTCTCCTTTGTGCTCTCGTTTGCAAACACTATCTTTATCACTCGGTCTCGGTCTTTGTTGTACCAACCTAGCCTGAAACCTCAATGCTATGCTCAGCCCCTTCCATGTTTATCTTGAGATTATCTTGAGATGATTTCGGGGCTTTAGTGTCCCCGCGGCCCGGTCTTCGACCAGGCCTCCACCCCCAGGAAGCAGCCCGTGACAGCTGACTAACACCCAGGTACCTATTTACTGCTAGGTAACAGGGGCATAGGGTGAAAGAAACTCTGCCCAATGTTTCTCGCCGGCGCCTGGGATCGAACCCAGGACCACAGGATCACAAGTCCCTCGTGCTGTCCGCTCGGCCGACCGGCTCCGTTTAGTACTTTAGTGCCTTTAGTACTTCGTTCACTGCTGCTTTGTCCTTGTCATTCCACTCTGTCCTATTAGAGCCTTCCTGCTCTTTAATACCCACAGCAACCACTGATCTGTTCCTTTCCAGCAGTTGGCTAGTGGAGCGTGCCGCTTCCTGTGAGGTGGCTGCTTTCATGGCCACCTCCATCACTGCAGTCATTACTTCAGTTATTTTTTTTTTAGTATTTCTGCAAATGTTGCTTTTATTGTGGCATTCTCATCCAAAAAACTATTACCACCTTCTCCCTGGATGATTTTCTGAGTCTCAGCCTCGACACCATTCTCTTTGAGGGCTCTAATCTCCTCCTTTGCTTCTGTCAGCTCTCTTTTCAAGTTGCTTGTTTCGTTCTTCGTTTCCTGCATCATTTCTTACATCTCGCTCTTGATGACCTCCAGAAACTGGACGAACATTTCCTTCATTTCGTCACCTTGACTCTTCCCTGTTCTTCTGGTACCTCTGGCTGTCATGCTTGCCCCTGTTCCTGTAGTTGTGCCGTGATAGGATTTGTCAGGAGGGCAGAGCGGGATGGGGGGGGGAGAGAGAGATAGAGAGTGGGAGAGAGAGAGAGAGTGGGAGAGAGGGAGTGGGAGAGGGAGAGAGGGGGTGGGGAAGAGTGTGTGTATGGAGGATGCGGGGGACTGGGGGTGGGGGGGGCGGAGATGGCAACCAGGTCAGGTGGGGGATAAGAGGGGGGGGTTATAGTAAGGTCCTATTCCCTGTTCCCAGAAGGTGTTAATACTTTTTCCCCTGGCTGAACGTTTGTGTTTGTGTGTGTTTTAGCGTGTGCGCGCTTGTGTGTGTGCATACGTACGTGGGTGGGCGGGCGTGCATGCGTGTGTCACGAGTTCCCTTAAGCGTTACCTCTACCTAAATGAGCGACTTTGAGATTTTTATATATATATGATATCCTGAACAAGAATTTGATAATATTTTACCTCAATCTGTACACCTGATTAATTGACCAGAGAGGGGGTACATACCAGTCTGCCTCCCGTTCACACAACTAGATGAGTAAGGACGATGTATGATGACGATGGTTCTCCGTCGTTGTCTCCCACTAGGTGATTCATTAAGTGCTAATAGATTGATGATGTCGGTTCTTCTCTGTCTACACAAAGAGCTCTGGAGTCAGTCACTGTATCGTTGTGTGACAGTTCATTAATTTACTGTACCACTGTGTGTGTGTGTGTCATACCTACCTTTGTATTCCTGGTGAACTGACTCTTTTTCAACCAAGGTACCCCTAACATCACTTCTGAGGAATATAAATTGTATAGTAAGAAGGAAACTACACAGGTATCAATAAGCTTTCCGCTGGGAAGCAGAAAATGGGGTCTGGTGCACTCAACAGTTGGCATTGACATAGTCATATAATTGAATATTTATAGTTTCACTGGGTGGAGGCAGTCATATAATTGAATATTTATAGTTTCACTGGGTGGAGGCACTTTGCAAGGCTGCATCTAGCGCTTGTCAACATACCTGGTTCCTAACTTTGCTGACGTTTCCTGTTTTATCCTCGGATGTTTCACATTGTTTTATCACTTTTTTTTTCTTTATTTACATCCACAGACCTATTATATCCATATTTGCATCTTTCATGTAAAACCCAGACAGTAATTGTTTAAATCTTCATATGATTACCACATTACCCTGTGAATCAACAAGTGATGATGTCTGCAACCAGTGCTGAACTGCAGTGCTGTAATTATATTATTGCCTTTGAAACTTGATAATTACCCTTGAAAAAATAAATACTGTAGCAAAATCACTTCAAATGTAAATGGCTTTGTGTAAAAAAAGCACTGGGGGTCCAGTTCCTAAGTCCAATATGTGATTCTGTAACCTTTCTGCCACTGGCCACAAGATGAGTGTGTGGTCCACACTAGACTAATTCAACTAACAGTATCCATAGGTGATATTTGGATGACATTGGTCAGGTATTAATTGGGCTGATGCCTTCTATGGGTGCTAAATGATGCTGATTCTTTCCACGAGTGATAATGGGACTAACACTGTCCACTTGTGATAATTGGGGATGATGCTGTTATGGTGATAATAGGAATGACATTATCCACAGTTGATAATGGGACTTATACTATTTACAAGTGGTAATTGGTGTAATACTGCCAAAAAAATTTAATACAGGTGATATTGTCCACAGGTTGGGGATCTCCGTAGGAAGATCAGTGATCCCATCAAGAGGCTGGTGGATTCTGGCCGGTTGTTAGCAATCCCACAAGACCAAAATGACCACCGCTCTGCCATGATAACGTTACAAGATGGACAGTTGTACCTCCACCCACTCATGCATCGTAAAATTTTGCATAGTTCTCAGTATAATTTATTTCATTTTCTACAGCACAGTGACATTATGGGCATGCTGGACCCTGTCTCTACCATGGTGTTCCTGGACTTTGGGTGGGCAGGATCAGTGAAAGGACGGGTCACCATCCGGCTGTTCCCTGACATCCCACTATCCAAACAATTTTTGTTGTTGTGCACAGGTCTGCTGGGCCCCACCTACATCAACACTAACCTGCTCTTGGTGGGGCGCAAGGGTCATCCAGGTGAATGGATAGAGGGTGGAGACTACGAGAGAAATAATGGTGAGGGAGGAGCTTCTCTGCTGCCAGAAATATGGGGCGAGTCTCGTCAGTCGTCAAAAGCAGGGGATGTGTGGGCACGGTGGTTGGATCACCGTAGTGCACAGTTTGCCATCACCACTAGGGACCGCCCTGATCGTTGGACACGTGTCTTTGGTGAGATTGTGAGTGGCTTGAAAGTAGTGAGGGCAGCAGCCAAGCACGTTGACATCACAAAGGTGTCTGTGGTGGATTGTGGTGTTGTGCTGCCTGTCTAGTTTATTGTACCATAATTCATGTTACAATCACTACCACTGTGGGGGCACTGTGGTGTTAAGCTACAACCAGGGCACCTCAAAGGTGGTTTGGGGCTAAGGATAAATAAACGTAGATACCACACACACATACGTTTGTGGATTCTGTATGTATGTGTGTGTGTACCCAAAAAAAAAAAATTATATATATATATATATATATATACAGGCATACCTCAGTTTAAGAGTTTAATTGGTTCCTGGAGACGCCTCGTATTCTGAAAACTCGCATTCCGAAGCTAATTTCCCCATAAGAAATAAAGGGAAATGAATTAATCCGTTCCTGACTACCCCAAAAACCCCACATCAAACTAAATTTTTATACCTAATTCATCTAAATAAACCTACAAAACTATGTTCAAGTTATTACTTACCTTGCTGTTGAATGCTGTAGGCGTATGGAAGATGGTGAGGAGGTGGGAGGAAGAGAGGAGTTACTGTTTGGAAGGGGAGTCCCCTTCCATTATCACATCAGGCAGTGAGGACTTCACTGGTATGCACACTCTGCCACATTTTGCCTGCATACCACTAGGACTTGCTTGTTTTACTAAGAATTTGTCTAATGACACTTGTTTTTCCCTACATTTTAACACATGTCTGTAGTAAGACATCACATTGTCATTTAAAAGGTCAATGCAACGGCCTGCTACAGCTTTATCTGGGTGAGTTTTTTCAACAAAACTTTGCAGTTCTACCCATACTTCACACATTTTCTTAATCTTGAAGGGACATCCTCTACTGCCTCTACTCACAGCTATTTTCTTAGGTTGAACCTTACCAATGGCTTTCTTGAGACCCATGGCACGATATATAATGACAACTTTTATGCTCAAATGGCCAAAAAAACGATAAAAAACTGTAAATCCTTGTGAAGAATTCAGGTGGGATAGTCACTGGACATGAGACACTGGTAAACTGAGGCGCGATCGCCATGCCACCACGCGCCAGTCGGCCTGTACACGTATCAACAAACTCGCGTTCCGAGGTAACCCTCGCCTTCCGAGACATATTTTCCGAGGAAATCCTGCTCGTCTTCCGAAAAACTCGCATACAGGGACACTCGCATTCCGAGGTACCACTGTATATATATATATATATATATGTATATATATATATATATATATATATATATATATATATATATATATATATATATATATATATATATATATATATATAAATAATACACACACACACACAGTATAATTACACACACACATATATATACATACATGCATGCATGCTTGCTGTCTAAGCTGGCATATCTGGACTATATGAGAAGGACCCCGACTGGATAAGCCAGACATCTAAATAAGCAGCTTTTTTTTTTTACCAGGGGGTGTCTAAAATTACCATATTTGCAATTTTTTTCTTTTTATCAAAACCAACATAATTCACATTTCCACACACTTTAATTCAAAAATAAGATTTAATACAAACTTCAGCTTACCATGTTGTAGTTTCTTCTTTTTTATTTGATAATGAAATGCTTAATATTTGAAAATTTACATAACCTAATCTCCAGTTACCCAGATTTCTGTCCAGATATGGTGAAGTTTTACCAGGAAATTATCAAGATGTGATTTAGGCTGGATAACCCAAGTATTCTGTTCAGCAGGCTTTGGATAACCGCGCTCGCCTGTGTAAATACCTAATTGTAGTTAAAGGAGGAGAGCTATGCTCATGATGTCCCATCTTTCCAGTACTCTTTTGTATAACGCTTTGAAACTACTGGTTTTTGCCTCCATCACCTTCTCACTTATTTTGTCCCAACCTTCTACCCCCTTTGTTTTCAAAAGAAACTGTTCTATTATTTTTTCCGCACCTTTGTTTTCTTACCTCGAATCTGTGTCCTCTTGTTTGTGAAGTTGCTGGTTTCAGGAATTCCTCGTGTCAATTTGGTCTCTTTCTGTTATTATTTTGTAAATGGTGATCATGTCACCACTCTTTCTTCTGTCTTCTGGTTATGGCATTTTTAATGTCTGTAGTCTCTCCTAGTAATTTTTCGTTTCCAGTTCAGGAAATTTTGTAACATGCCGCTGCATCTTTTCTAGTTTCTTCATGTGCTTCTTGAGATTAGGGCACCATACAACTGCTGCATATTCCAGTTTTGGTCTCATAAAAGTCATGAACAGTTTCTTTAGTATTTCACCATCCTTATCATTAAAAGCAAGTCTAAAGTTGAAAAGTGACGCATACGCTCCCCTCACAATGTTCGTTTTGTTCCTCAAGCGACAGTTTACTATCCAAAACCATCTCTAGGTCTCATTCTTCATTGGAGTTTTGTAATTCTATTCCACATAATTTGTAAGTTGTCTGTAGTCTATTTTCTCCATTTGTGTGTGTGTGTGTGTGTGTGTGTGTGTGTGTGTGTGTGTGTGTGTGTGTGTGTGTGTGTGTGTGTGTGTGTGTGTGTGTGTGTCATACCTGCCTGCCGTGTGTGTGTGTGTCATACCTGCCTGCCAAACACAAGATGAAATAATGACATTGCTGCAACGTTCAAACAAGTTGTAACATCTAACAAGTTGTAACAACTTTCAAACATGTCATAAAAACTTTATAACAAGATGTAACAGTAGAGACCGTTATGTTGTGTGTTTGCAGGGTAATACCTAGAGTTGGCTTACAAACCAAATTTTTGTTCATAAATTTTTCAAAATTCTTTATGAAATGATTTTCATTATAATGTATAAGATAGGCCTAAGGTAGAAATTAGTGTTGATAATATAATATGGTAATATTATTAGTGGAGAACTAATTTCCAAAGAAATTTGAAACCATACAAAATTGCTCTGGCTATAAGGTTTCATACGCATCTTTTCAGCACTGCCTAACCTAAGTAAAAGTTAACGAATGTAAAATAATAACTACAGTAATCATGCAAATAGTTCAATAACTTGATATTTATACAAATTTCCGCAAAGATACAGCAACAATTTTGTTTAACCAATTTGTTCAATCAGATGCAGCAAGCCTTGGTAACTGGGTCATTCAGATAGGTCTACCAAAAAAGCATGACATAATATATGTGTGCTTATTGTGCTTTTTAGGCAGAACCTTCCAACTTTACCTCTGACGGAGAGTAGAACATCTGATTAGGCATAGTTTAAGTTTTCCTTGTTTCTTCATTGGAATCTGCATAAAGATGAAAATATTAACATATTACCCCAGGCACCAAGTGTCTCTGAGGCAATGGGGACAAAATTGTAGTGGTGCTCAAGGTCTCTGTATTTACGTGACTTGGCCGCTATATATGTATATACCATATATATATATATATGTCGTACCTAGTAGCCAGAACGCACTTCTCAGCCTACTATGCAAGGCCCGATTTGCCTAATAAGCCAAGTTTTCATGAATTAATATATTTTCTCTAATTTTTTTCTTATGAAATGATAAAGCTACCCATTTCATTATGTATGAGGTCAATTTGTTTTTATTGGAGTTAAAATTAACGTAGATATATGACCGAACCTAACAAACCCTACCTAACCTAACCTAACCTATCTTTATAGGTTAGGTTAGGTAGCAGAAAACGTTAGGTTAGGTTAGGTAGTCGAAAAACAATTAATTCATGAAAACTTGGCTCATTAGGCAAATCGGGCCTTGCATAGTAGGCTGAGAAGTGCGTTCTGGCTACTAGGTACGACATATATATATATATATATGGTATATATATATATAGCGGCCAAGTCACGTAAATACAGAGACCTTGAGCACCACTACAATTTTGTCCCCATTGCCTCAGAGACACTTGGTGCCTGGGGTAAAAGTGCTGCTAGCTTTTTGAAGGAGTTGCGGGTCTAAGCTAATCGAAACAACTAGAGACCCTAGAGCTGCCAGTTTTCTTTTTCAGCGCCTTAGTGTGGCAATCCAGAGAGGAAATGCTCACTGCATCCATGGTTCCTGCCCGCCATCTGAGGAGCTGGAAGAGCTGTACAACTTGTGACAAGCAGCCTTCCACCCTGCATGTAATCAATATTGTAACTTTTTTTGTGTAATGACATTTTCAGATAAAGTTAGATAAATATACACACATACCAAAAGAATAGGGGTGGTAGGAGTAGAAAATGTAAAAGTGTTCAGTGAGGATCCACAAGGTCTTCTCTGAGTACTCTTTATTTTCTTCTCCGAGGCTATGGGTCCCTACACTTGCACCAGAGGTGGTACCCGCTATATATATATATATATATATATATATATATATATATATATATATATATATATATATATATATAGTATTTATATATATATATATATGTCGTACCTAGTAGCCAGAACGCACTTCTCAGCCTAATATGCAAGGCCCGATTTGCCTAATAAGCCAAGTTTTCTTGAATTATTAAATTTTCTCTATTTTTTTTCTTATGAAATGATAAAGCTACCCATTTCATTGTGTATGAAGTAAATTTTTTTTTATTGGAGTTAAAATTAACGTAGATATATGACCGAACCTAACCAACCCTACCTAACCTAACCTAACCTATCTTTATAGGTCAGGTTAGGTTAGGTAGCCGAAAAAGTTAGGTTAGGTTAGGTAGTCGAAAAACAATTAATTCATGAAAACTTGGCTTATTAGGCAAATCGGGCCTTGAATAGTAGGCTGAGAAGTGAGTTCTGGCTACTAGGTACGACATAATATATATATATATATATATATATATATATATATATATATATATATATATATATATATATATATATATATATATATGTCGTACCTAGAAGCCAGAACTCACTTCTCAGCCTACTATGCATGGCCTGATTTGCCTAATAAGCCTAGTTTTCATGAATTAATGTTTTTTCGTCTACCTAACCTACCTAACCTAACCTAACCTAGCTTTTTTTTGGCTACCTAACCTAACCTATAAATATAGGTTAGGTTAGGTTAGGTAGGGTTGGTTAGGTTCGGTCATATATCTACGTTAATTTTAACTCTAATAAAAAAAATTGACCTCATACATAATGAAATGGGTAGCTATATCATTTCATAAGAAAAAAATTAGAGAAAATATGTTAATTCAGGAAAACTTGGCTTATTAGGTAAATTGGGCCTTGCATAGTAGGCCGAGAAGTGCGTTCTGGCTACTAGGTACGACATATATATATATATATATATATATATATATATATATATATATATATATATATATATATATATATATATATATATATATATATATATATATATATATAATATATGCA